TCTATTGCACAGAAGTCATTTTCAGTTTCTTCTTTTTATTTATTTAATATTTATTAAACATTTTCTAGATAATTAAAGGTAGTTAAACTCATTGTTTATCTGAGTGTAACGCACAAATTGTAAAGTCGTAGTTCATGATGTCCAAAGAATGTGTAAATCTTATTCTGTACTCCATTATTTTCATTTTATCGTGCGTTCAGATATGTATCGTGGCTTTTATTTTCATTGTTATGATTCTCCATCGAATAGCGATCAAAAGCAAATGTATTCATTGCCTCCTTATTGCCAATACTTATATTGCCGTGTTTTTTATCAGTTGTCTTTTCATTGACATGTCCCTTCATTATCTTTATGGATATTTGTACCCTCATCTGTCATTCGATGTTCGGTCATGTCGTCTTAGAGCTTATGTTCTTTACATTTGCGGTTATACATTTTTCCATTCATTTTCAATCCAAGCGATCTATCGTATCTGTCGAATTCTTTATCCGTTACAAACGACACGTCAACCGTTTAGTTTGTATGTCATCATTTTAATAGGTCAATGGATTCTGTCTGCAGTGGAATTGTTTCCAAGTTTGATGATAGGTGATATTCAATATTTACCATATAACTTTTATTGTCAGTTCTCGCCGGCAAATATGCGTGGATCGTTAACAGTTTGTCTAGTTGGATTCCTCCTTCCATTCACTATTATGGCTTGTTGTTATTTCCATACAATATGTTATGTTCGAAAGAATAGTTCCACTATTGTTACTTTCAAGCAACGAGTTCGCGTTCGTCGAGATTTGACTATTTTAAAACGCATAATTCGTTTACTAACAGTTCTTTCGTCAAGTGCTATACCGCATGCTGTTTTCCCTATTATTTATCTTATCTATGGTAAACTTCCAACATGGTTAGTGCCGTTGGAATGGGTTTTAACTATTGTTGCTCTGATTATCACTTCAATTTTTATACCATACCTGGCGCCTCATNAAAACGCATAATTCGTTTACTAACAGTTCTTTCGTCAAGTGCTATACCGCATGCTGTTTTCCCTATTATTTATCTTATCTATGGTAAACTTCCAACATGGTTAGTGCCGTTGGAATGGGTTTTAACTATTGTTGCTCTGATTATCACTTCAATTTTTATACCATACCTGGCGCCTCATATGAAGAAAATGTACAATCGAAAGCATTTGAAGAATTTGTTATCATTTAGAACACATAAACAGATTTACGCGAAAGACTGATCAGTTCAGTATGAGAATATGAATTTTTGGAGTATCCTGAAAATGATTATAAATAAAATATTTTTAAATAATAAAAAGACGTTCGTCAGACATGCATATGGATATCATTTCTTTTGACCTCTAATTTTCTATTCAGTTTGTTTTTTGTTTAAAATTTAATTTGTACCAGGAGGAAAGTTTCTTCAGTTATTTTGCACTTCTCTTACGTTCTCTTGAACAGAGATTCGTTCTCCACCAGCTGGGACATAGACAGCAAAGAAAACATCTATCGTGTCATATGATACTGGCAGATATTCCAATAATAGTCGGTCTTCTCCAAGAAATGTAATTCGAAGATGATATGCATCAAAATGATACTTAAAAGCTTCGTGTTTCAATATGCTACCTTTCCATTTTGATACGGATAATCCTGATATAACTGTCTTGTTTAACATGCCTACGGTGAACGGATAATTCGTCGCACAAGTAATTACTCGTGTAATTAATTAGTTGTGACAAGATTAACATAATTTACAGATAGAGAGAGAGAGAGACGTAAACGTTGCAAAAGGGTCGACACATTTGTACAACCCAAAAATGTAGTTCGTAAAAACGCAAGATTTCAAGATATGTAATGAAAACAGATTCAACAAAAAAACAGCTAAATATTTCATAGTTCTGATTAAAATAGTATCAAATACTAATGTTGTTTTTAATGAAAAACGGATCCTCTTATAAATTTATGAGGCTTGATAGTTTATTCTGTATACTGTAACACTGCTACATTAACTGAAACCGTATCCTAATTAGGATCTTTGTTAGGAAGTGAAGCTCATTCTATATAGCAATCAGTGTTTTCAACTAATTTGTATCTGACGAAAAACCTTTCAGATTTTCACTCACAAAAGAACAGACATATGTTGTAAAATCGGTCGAATATTTGCTAAATGAACTATGATAAAAATTACTCACTATTTTGGAGTCATTTTCCCGGCAAAATTTTCCCGAACTTTTGCTTAGTTCAGAAGATTGGGAAATCCATCAACTCAGTAAAGTTCTCCGTTAAAAGATTTCGTATTTTTAAATATTTAAGTTCTGTATTTTATATATATTTTGGTAGGTTTGAAGCAATTTATATTAAATTTTCAAATAGTCTATATTTCTTGTTCACAATACCATTAGATTATTCAATTCCACTTAGTGTCACTAACGACATTATTGGTAATAGTATAGTTTTTATATTAATTGAGTTACATATGTAACGCTGTTAATTAATAATATTATCATGTCAGCGAATTGTCCTAGTGGCATTTGCTCATGCATTAACACTTAGCGGTACTCAATACTCGTTTACAAAAATATCTTCGTTTTTGCCGTTTAAAAATGCTCTTCCAATTATGTCTGTCACTCCAGTAATGAATGCTTTTGGAAAACGACATGACTACAATACCAAGTACTTGATACCATAAAGATAAAATTTACGTAACAGGAATGTTGAAATGAGTAAGAGATTGAAACGAATGAATTTCATTGGAATCGTGGTATAGCTGACTTATCTGGTATTTTTATAACACTTACGAAATAACATGACTCAAATCAGTATTGCACAACAGCTCCTCCAAGTGTGCGACATATAAAAGGAATAGCTCACCTTGAATATGTATTCATTCAATGTTTTATTACGCGACAAGGTAAAATCTTCACAGCATTTTTCTTTTTCGAACGGTAGGAACAATACATATGTGACTTTAACTCTTTCTTAACGAAGAGCAATTTCAGTGTATATTAACTCACCATGACTGCTGAAAACGAACTGGCTACGATTCATCTTCGTTGCATTCCAGACAATCCAAATTCTCTTAGTGGAGTTTTAAATACGAAAAAAGTTCGGTTCGACATCGAAACGAAAGCTAAAGAAGAAAAAAACAAACGCACACCACTCAATCTTGTCCTTGTTCTTGATCGCAGTGGTTCGATGGAATCGAACGACAAATTAACATTTGCCAAGAAAGCTGTTGTGTCCGTTCTCAATCTTCTTCATGATGACGATGTTGTTCATCTCGTAGCTTACGATAGTGATGTGTCTGTTATCTTTGAAAATGCACGAGCATCTTCTCGTCAATATCTTTATCCTTTGGTCGAAGATATTGAAACGGCTGGATCAACAAACATATCCGGTGCTCTCGAAATCGGTGCAGGCCTTCTTGAAAAATATGTTTACGAAGGATTTGCACGACGAATGTTCCTCTTTTCTGATGGCCAAGCCAATGTTGGAATGAGAACGCGAGAAGCGTTAACGAAACTCGTTGCGGGATACAATACAAAAGGTATTATAACTGACTCGTTTGGCATTGGTGCCGATTTCGACAGCGAAATTATGAAAGGTATTGCTGATTCTGGTGGAGCACGATTTTATTTTCTTGCTTCGTCTGATTTGATCGAATTACTTGTTACTAAAGCACTTGTTTGTGTCTTTGGTGTATGTGCTTCTCGTGTTCGCCTTCTTGTGCGTGGTAAAAATGGAGCAACTGTCACCAAAATTTGGGGACATGACGATCTCGTTGCTGGGGCAAGTCTTGGCGATCTCTTTAGCAATAACTCTCGATCCATTCTATGTGAGTTTACGACTACCGGCGCAGCGAACACTGATGTGGAAGTTCTCACCTACGAATTACGATATAATCAACCAGATAATCTTCTTGGTGAACCATGCTCCATTAAAAATACATTATCGATTCGATTTGTTGAAGATGATGCACTTGTTGTAGATGTTGATCCTCGCGTGAAGATTATGTATGCTTCTCAACAAGCATCTGAAATGGATAAACAAATTGCTCAATTGATGGCAGATGGTCAACGACAGGCTGCGATTGAAGTTGTCGAAAAACAAATTCAACTACTTAAAGATGCTGAACAATTTGATGACGAAAAGGGATCGGTATCCATGCTACTTCGATTAGCCGAGCATATGCAGAAAAAATTCCAAGACAAAAATATGAGTTCAAAAATTATTTCACAAGGTTACCACCATCATGCTCATCTGAAAGAAGAATGCGATGATGATGATATGGGGTTTGGTTTTTTTTCTTAACGGACGAGTATTTCGTCGAAAATTATTTTTTTGTATAGAACTCATTATTTATTTGATAAATATAATATCATCATAGTAGCTGATATCTGTCTTGTTTTCCTTATAATTTTCGGACATACTACAAAAGGGTAAGGATAAGATCAGGAAAAACCTATTTACAGTACGTATCGATCGAACAGATTTACTGATTTATTATATATCTTGACAGTTTGACGACATGCATTTCACAACAATCATTGCCAAGAGCTCATGCGAAAGAGATAAACGTAAGAAAAGAAACCAGATGAAGAATATTCAATAGAATAAATCATTGTATCAAGCGCATGCCGAATATTATAAAATGTGAAAACAATTAACGCACTAGCAAAGTCAGTTTTACTTTGTTTTGTCGAATGGATATAGCCTACCGTATTGTGTTATTCGGATTATAGTCATTGATAATGTTCGTAATATAGAAAACCGTATAGTACAATATTTGATACTAAAAATTTCATTTGATAAGTTGAACAAAGTGTTAATCGATGATTTAAATGACGACACAATATATCCTATTATGTGTATTATTTTTCGTTTCTCTACTTGATTATAGGTGACATAATTGTTTTCTTCCTTCCTACGACACGTTTCGTATGCTTTCTTTTATTGTCATATTGAACGAATCGATGAATTAGGTCGGTCATTTCTAACAGCACAATGACATCTATTAATGGTGAACGCGAGACAACCGAATCGAACATTGCCGATGTTCTTATTGTTGGTGCTGGAATAGGTAGCCTAGTTACTACGCTGTGTTTGCATAGTGATGGATATTCCGCTCGTATTCATGAACCGATTGGCTTGGTGTTAACCTTCATTCGTTTTGTGTAGAATTGCTCCACGAACTTGGACTCGAACATGTAATGGATGAAATCGGTGAAACAGCTGCTCGACTCAATCAAAAATTAATTCGACTGTACTCAAAATCTTATATCATGATGACGGATGTCCTCTCTGGAGAGGACTTCATAATTATCGTGGAATTAAACCAACCGATGAACTTTACTTGGATGGACGAACAATGATTCTCATGGACAATCCCGATGGCGTTGAACTTATCATTTATCCTATAAATAAAGATCTTATCAATAGGACTTGTGCTGCTCGAATCACTGATGTAATAGTACAATCATCTCCTAAAATACCTGACTGGAATAACATCGGTCAGATTGCACGATCTTCCTCCGTTGACATCCAATATGAAATTGAATTTTCTTGATATTCATCAACTTGTGAAATCACCGATTATTATCAATGAACTTCCGATGACCGGTCGTGTCACATTACTTGGTGACGCTGCACATCCTATGTATTCAATTGGAAGTAATGTTGCATCTCAAAGTATCCTTGTTGCTCGCGGATTGATTCTTTCTTTCGATCGATATGATGCTACTCCCCAAGGTCTACAGGCGTACGATGATCTCCGACGTTCAGCTTTGAGTAGGATGATTTTGGCAACTCGACATTACGGTTCCGAAGAAATGCTTAAAGTTGTTGCTGAACGTACGCCGAACGACTTCAAGAATTTGTCGAACGTTCTTCCCAACGAAGAACTTAAAACTATGTTAACAAATTTTAAACAAGTAATTGGTTTCAATGTACAGATATTGAATAAAGAATCTCCACTTTTCTTTTAGATATTTTCAATAAAAAAGAAAAAAAATGGAACGACAATTTTTTCAACGTACATAACTTTCTTATCTGTAATGCTTATGACGCCTTTTTTTTATCACAACGCGAAAAACTCAATTGTTCTAGAATAGAATGCTTCTGCGTATTCGATCGTGAGAAAAATCGACATGTATATATTTTGCCGGTGCTTCTCTTCACACCGCCATTTTGTCTATTTGCGTGTTTTTGATACCTGCAACATGCTTCTCATCGCGATTTTCTCTCTTACCATCTTCTATCAATTTTCATTCGGATTTCCATCGAACTTCGGTAAGTTTGTACTCAACCATCGTTTTTCTTTTTCATTTCTGAATTACAATTTTTGCAGGACGAAATGATATCGTAGCAAAAGCAACTGATGATGGTAATGCACGATTTTTGATTGTCGGTGATTGGGGTGGTTTACCATTTGTGCCATATAAGACACCATCCGAAGTAGCAGTAGCAGCTGCTATGGGTCATATCGGTGAAAAATTGAATACTAGCTTTCAGTTAGCATTAGGTGACAATTTCTATTATGATGGTGTTCAATCAGTTACAGATCCACGTTTTAAAGTTCGATTAACATGAATTGGTCTTTTTTCGTTTTTATTGAATACCTCTTTTCTAGCATACATTCGAAGATGTGTTCACCGCCAAATCTTTACAAACCCCTTGGTATGTGTTGGCCGGTAATCATGATCATTTGGGTAACGTTTCAGCGCAGATCGAATACAGCAAAATATCACATCGATGGTAAACCGTTTATTGATGATCAGACAACGAATCGATCAGCATGTTGTGTTATTTCTTCTACAGGGTTTATCCAGATTATTTCTATACATTCAGCTTATGGGAAAGTGACAAAACGAAAAAGTTGGTCGATTTTGTTATAATTGATACCGTTTTACTATGTGGAGGAGGAAACTTAACCGATTGGGAAGAAACAGAAGTAGATGGTCCAAAGAACAATCGCGTCGCCGAAGCCTATTGGCAATGGATTGAAGGCCAACTCCGTCAATCTACGTAAGTCGATACATTAAAAATAAAAGGATAATTTCAAAGAGTTCTCTTCAAGTGCTCCATACTTAATCGTCAGTGGCCACTTTCCAGTCTATTCCGTTGCTGAACACGGTCCAACCAAATGTCTTGTTGATCGTCTTCGTCCTTTACTTCATCAATATAAGGCAACAACCTATATCTGTGGTCATGATCATAATCTTCAAGTAACATTTACTTTATAAAATTCATCAAATGTACATTTTTTTCTGCTTTAAAGCATTTGGCAGAAGATTCCGATGGTTCACATATGGATTATTTCGTTGTTGGTGCCGGAAATATCGTCGAAAATAGTCAGAAACATGCTGCTGCTGTTCCTGCCGGTTCACTCAAATATTTTTGGGGTACGGGACTTCTCCTTGGCGGTTTTAGCATGGTTGAAGTCAACAGTTCACAAATGACCTTGTCATTAGTTGAACACACACAGAGAACTTTGTATCAAGCAGTATTAAAACCACGAGTTTAAATACGTGTCTTCGTTTATTTGTGACTCTGAATTTTCAAAAATATAATCTATGATGAAAATAAAATATCTCCACTTCTTTATTTACAATCTGTTAGTCATGTGATTGAATTAGTCTTTTTGTGAGTATTTGATCTATTTACAAAAAGATGAGCATATACAAATCGAGACGAAATATGTTTATGAAGACTTGATTCAAGTTAATAATCGTAATCTTTCCAATTTACTTTCGAACATTGTTGGCGTACATTTCGAGTACGTTCAATACGATTTGTCAATTTAGGATTACAAAATGAACAGCCAGTTTTTGTTGAATTGCCGATATTCCGTGGCGGAGAAGTCGATCTTTTTCGAGCATCATGAACTTTATTTCTACCAGCTTTGTCACGAGGATTTCGATATTGGCTGCCAGGCTTTGCTTCGACATACGACATGATTCCCTTGTCTTCGTCATCCTTGTTATTCATTGATTTCATCCTTTTTGATCCGGTCGATGATAACACCGGTCGTTGTTGTTGCTGCCGATTTGGTTCGATATTTCTCAGTAAAGTAGCAGCATAACTTGGCTTGCTTTGCCCTTCGGCATTTCCATCTGTAATTTCCTCGATTGCAACTACTCCGAGTTCGCCATTCGTCTCATCCTCGTTCTCGACAAACACCCAGTCGTTTTCGGCACTCATAATTCACAGTCAAATGCAAAATACTACTTAGATTTGACATACGTGATCAATATATAATCACATGACAAAACAGAAGACGTCATTACACGCTTAGAATCAACCAATAATTTGAATGCGACTTAAAAGAATGAAAGAAACAGAACATCGTACATAGATGACAGTCACAAATGGAGAAGTAGTTAGAATGCAACAGCTGTAAGGAAACAGCTATTTCTATACTGTACTTTTAAACAGCGCACGATAAGATCATGTCTGTTTATTGATATTAAATGACAGAACGAAAAAAATCACCGACGCTTTTTATTTCGGATTTGATCCACGTGTCTTTTTCCTATCGTTGATAATACGAACAGTATTATCTATGTCGTCTTGCTCTGGGACATATCGTTTGATCTAGATTATAAAGTACAATAGATGACTGAGAATAAACTCGCTTACATCGATGCAACTATTCAACTGATTTTTATTTATCAATAAACTATGTTAGACTAAAGTTCGTACAATCGCGTATTTATTAAAAATTAGTTTCTTTCCAATTTCTAGATTTCGAATATAATTCGTGTGTTAAGAAGTATTTATGTTTTAACAACATTGATTGTCACATTTTCGACCAATGGTGTACGAGTATCGTTTATGTAAATCAATCGTAGGTTTTTGCTTGTAATTCTTGCTTGCATGCATAATCCACCATGGCCTTGTCCAGCACGAGATTTATCATACGAGAATTGAAAATCAATGGGAAATGTTTGACCTTGTTTGAGTATAATTTCCTGTTCTCCTAGTGTAACACTTGGTGCATCCATACGAGAGGCATCCACGGCTGATACTTGAACTTTCTCGCCGCCTTCAAATACATGAGATGAATCGTTTGAGGTTATTTGACCGCTGATGGTTGCTGAAGCCATGTAGAAATATTATGTCTTGAAATGAGTAGTCTTATGAGTAAATATGCAAAAGTAACAAAGTCATGGGATTTTATTGATACGAGGGGTTGTGGATGACTGAAGGAAGAAAATCAAGCAACTCAACCATGAAAAATATTCGTCATAATATATACATTGATTGATGAGGGATGCGTGTAGAAATAAGAGAATGTTGAAAAGATTTTTCAGTAGAAAAATTGATTTCCTAGGTTTCAATCCTGAACGAAAGTGAAAAACACAATCATTAATACTTGTTTTCTTTTTTTCTTGCAAAGAAAACTAGCAATTGTAAAAGAACCGAAATTCGAACCAATCAGAAAAAACTTTTGCATTGTCGCTGTCAGATGAAAGGTATGTACAATTCATCAAGTTATTCAACATCATGTAACGATTCTTTCCAAATAGTATTCTTGTTTTTAAATACATATCAATTAAGAAACCAGATGAGAAGATTTAATGACGCAATAGAACACAGAAGAACGAACAAAAACGTCTCACATTTGATCGTATAAAAACTTACTTAACGGATTTATTTTTCTTCATTCAATGTCAATTGGCAAAAGTTCTTTACTTACTTCTATTTGACATACTTAATTCTTTATAGAAAAAAAAATGACCTCAGCTGGAGCGTATCTGATTCTACGAGATCTATGGAAAGATGAACTCAAAATCACCAACAAGGCCAACGGAGTTACTGTTACCGTACCAATTGAAGGTGGATTCCGAGGTTTATATAATTTACCTTTAGGTGAATATACTATTGAAAATCATGGTGCAGAACTCAATGTCAACTTGACGGAAGATGCACCAATTCAAGTTTGGCAACTGGATAGCACAGCAGGAACGTGGACCGAAACAAAACAGGAGGATGATGATTTCGGTTATCATAATTTGGCGAGATCAGGAGCGATGAATAGCAAACTATTGAATGCGAAACAAGCAGTATCAAGCTTATTCAGTGATTCGCCGTAAATGAGAAATTACGACGACAAAGAACTCAGAATAATAGAAGCCGATTTTTTTGTATTCATCTGAATTTTTATTTTTCCTACCGATTATGAACCAATTTTTAAGTATAAAAATGAACGGTGTTAACATAACTTGATATTGACGTAATGTTACACCGGAATTGAAATTGGCATGGACTAAAGCTATTGTTAGAAGATATATTTGAGAAAAACAAATCATCAAAAGACATCCTTCGCTTGAAAATAATAGCAAATATAATATCCTTTATATTTTATGATGAATTCGATGATGGTATTACAAGAGAAGCAGCTGGAGGAGGACCTTGACCTTTTAAATTTTCAATAAGATGAATTTTCATTTGATTATAGTTTGGTTGAAGACTGCCGTATGGTCTAATTTGCGCATGACCAGAAGGGAACGTTTTTCCTAGAACAAAATACGGTTGTCCAGGCATAATCTCACTCTTTTCGAGGAAGTAACGACAAACAATTGTACCATTCGTATCATAAACTGACCAACGATAAAACTTGACAATAGTATCATCATCAGGATAGAATGGAATAGGTTGAAAATACTCTGCTGCTTCGATCCGGTATGTATCAACATTAAAAATATCTCTGCCAAAACTATTATAGATTTCTGGCCATCGACTACCAAGTGACTGTCTTAGTTCTCTCACTTTCGATACAATACGTTCGGAATTTGCTTGATCTTTGACTCCTTGTTCGTTGTCATCCGTACAATTAGATAATTCAATTAATGCTTGTGTACAAACACCGAATAATCTTTGAATATTTGCTAATAATTCATCCGTTGTTGTTTGAAATTTTTCGGGCCATTCGCGAATGGCTTCATCGAGTAAATTTACTACACCTTCTGTGTCGAAAAGAGCTGGCATATTAGTGGCAAAGTTTCAATACTTTAGACAACTTTGTTGTTTTTGTATACGATCGTAAATATTCTGTCATTGGTTGAAAGCATCTCTCTTCATTATTGCACAATCTACGGTAATACACACGTGCAGCGCAAAAGTTATTGTTTAAAACATAAGATACGCATCCGGTGACGTAGGAAGCTATTTTCTCATTTAATTGTGACTGTGCTGTATATTTAACTACGTCATCGTTCGATATTTTTACCTCACATTAAACAAACAGCACCTCACTTATGAAAATGCAATGACGCATTCGATGGAAATGTAAAAAGATTAAACAACAAAGTGTTGATGTGTGCATAGACATTCAGCGCGTTAGTTTCTGACTATTTCTTGACAAAAAAAACGAGAATCATGAACAATTTTGCACGATTGACACTATATGTGGTTATTGACATGATTTCTGAGCATTCTTTAATAATTATTTTGTTTAAAAGAGAATTAAAAGGTCACATTGATTTTTATGCATGTACATGTAAAGAAAAGATAAGAATTCACATACCTCTTCCTCGCAATTGCATCATCATCGCTTGCAGTGTTAGTAGAACAGAAAATATGTCCACAACTGATAAACACTTACGTCTTATTTGCCTATTAACATCAGGATTATTCGATGATCTGGTGATCACTGAAGTTGGGAATACATACAAAAGAAAAGCGATAACTGATTGGATTATTCGTTATGATAAAAATCCAATAAATAAGACGGATTGTTATCAAATGTTCCCATTGAAAAGACTGTCGAAGACGTTAAACAACAAATGGCAGTCATAGTTTAGCAAACTTCAATGCACTTTATCGTTACTGTGGACTAGGGCAACCATTTATTGATGTAGAAAAACGATAGGTAGATATTGGAACGTTTTCTTTTAATTATTTGTCCTTACTGATTCTAAAGCCAATTCGTTTTTTTTTTCTACATAGCATCAATGTTCTGCGAAATCTAATAAGTTTGCACCATTCGATATCGTCGATAGTGAGATGATTTTCACAACAGTACAACTAGTATCCACTGACAATACATCAAATATACTTAGTTTTCCGTTTCGTTGGCTGGTTCAACAACAAATCCAGTAATCACCGACAGATATATGAAAACTTTTGCAAACATGTAGAATCGAATTGTAGCGTGTAGAACTCGAAAAGTGAAACTGCTTCTAATTGGACTCTTGACTATTGAATTGTTTACCTATCACAAGTATACTGACTGTTCATTCTGTTAAACATATCGAAAACAAGAGCAGCCAGGTTCTGGTAACAACAGAATACCAAAGTTGTTTGTTAATCTATCTTCGTGTAAACAGACTGTTTACATGTCGATTTGTTAGAGCAAATAAAACGATACTGTTCACGTGCTTTGACAGAGTTTGAAGTCAAATTTTTGTTCATCGGTAGATTGTGTATAAGTGCGTCATCTTTATGAGATAAGCATCACATTCTTCATGCACTCAATATACACTTATCGGAAGAGATTAGCCAATTGCATTGCACTATTCATTCGAGTTATTGCAACTGTTTTCGACATAAATGAAGAAAGAACAAATAAAAGAAACTGTCGTATTCGAAAGCTTGCTTAAATGTAAAAAGGCAGTTAGTGTTAATGTCATTTTCCAGAGTAATGTTGAAGAAAATTGTCTCCGGTGGACAAACTGGTGTGGACCGATCGGCTTTAGATGTGGCTATTGAGCTGAATTGGCCATACGGTGGTTGGTGTCCCCGCGACCGAAGAGCAGAAGACGGAGCTATTGATCCAGTTAAATACGCAAATCTCAAGGAAACATTAGCTAGCCGATATTCACAACGTACTGAAATGAATGTGGAAGATTCCGACGGAACTCTTATAATTAGTGCAGATGCAGCGTCAATGGGTCCAGGAACAAAGTTGACGATAGCCTTGGCGGCAAAGCATCATAAACCTCTATTTATAGTTAATTTAAATGAAAATATAGATGAGGGACAGGTCATTGAATGGCTTAACACAAATAAGATTGAGACATTGAACGTTGCCGGCCCAAGAGAACAAACATCACCCGGAATTTACAAACAAGCCGAAACTTTTTTGCGAAGCCTTTTACAAAGAATAAAATCTTGATCTCATAGTAAACTTTTGAAATTGTATATTCAAGGAAGTGAATACATGTTTTGTTTTCTTATCTTCGATTCTCAATGAAAAGGGAAAAAACTTTAATAGTGCGTTTTGCGACCTTACGATTGTTTCGGAATATGACAAACTAGAATGATCACGTAAAGTGACTCGAAGAAACAATCATAACGCAAGAAATGATGTCATTGTTACACGGGAAGTAGATGAATATGTTGTGGATAAAATGAGCTTTACTATAAACGAATGTAAACTTATGCAAGAAAGAGGAATGAGTCATATTATAAACACATTGGAGCACATTCATGTACGGTAGTATGCTCTTTCGATGATTGCTCTATAGTAAACTTTTTTTGTATTGTTATATTGATTTACCTTCAGACAGGACGTTAATCGTATTATAACGAGCAACAATGGGTAATCAAACGAGTAAGACGACTCCTGGGCCCAATGCAAAGGCAATTTTTCAAACCATGCTGATGAGTGATTTACATCTAGAGTTCTCTCAACAAGTTATTCCAAAATTTCCAGTTGTTGCATCGATCTTGATACTCGCTGGTGATATTGGACGACCTGATTTACCATCGCTTCAGAAATTTCTCCTGGTTCAATGTCAAAGGTTCGAACACATCTTTTATGTAGCGGGAAATCACTGCTTCTACGAAGGAGAATATGAAACACGTCTTCAGCAACTTCAGGAATTAAACAATCTTCATCCACATATTCACTTCCTACACAATCAAAGTTATCTACTTCCGTTTAATGTGAGGATACTCGGAACTACGCTTTGGAGTCATGTTTCCGAAGAGAAAGCATCCGCAATTGGCGTACTATTAAACGATTATCATCACATTTGGACTAGAGGTGAGAAACTTGAAGGGGATGCTACGATCCAAACACGGCGTCTGATCACAGTTGACGACACGAATCGATGGCATGCTCAACAGCACGCTTGGTTACTAGAAGAAATTAGTAAAGCTCGCAAGAATCGCGAACATGTTGTTATCATCACACATCATGCACCTTCTCGTCATCATACTCTTCCAAAATATAACGTAGATCTTGATATAGACGATGCTTTTGTCAATGACCATGATGCAGATTGTGTAGATCCTGTTCGCTTGTGGATGTATGGTCATACGCATGCATCAACTGATTTGATTATAAAATCAACGAGAGTTGTCAGTAATCAGTTGGGGTATGCTCATGAAACGACAGGTTTTCGTCCTAATCTGAGGATCACATTGTATGACGATGGGGCAGTAAGTATCACAGAACCTGTTTCTACATCGAATTGTTAATTATGTTTCGCTAATTTATTTGAATAAATATTATTATTGGTTCTCTTCAGCCAGTAACAAAAAAAAGACAGACTTACTTTTCCACTTAGTGATTTATTCTGAATATGAGTCACTCGCATGACATCAGAATTGTTGATATTTACTCTAGATATCCGTGACATAGTTCCTAATCTATTTACTCGTGTCTTATTTTAAAAAGTACTATGAAAAGGAATATGGTAATCAACTTCTTCTTTTTCTGTTTTCATCTCTACCTAACTGTTATTTTGTGAAGTGACAGCGAATTTTGAACAGTTATTTTTCTCGATTATGCTTCGTAGTTCCCCGATTTTATTGTTAATTTTTCACATAATTGGATCTGTCGATCAAGAAGCGCGATTGATCGGTACACATATTGTAATTATATAAACATGAAATAAAACTCTCCATTTAACTAATACATTCTTCATAAAGGTCTATCGTCATGGAGATCGGACACCTATATTTGCATATTCAACTAGCTCAGTCTCTGCATCTTTCTGGCACAACGGTTTTGGACAACTGACTCGTCGTGGCCAACTTCAACACATTCGTCTTGGTCAGCATCTTCGACAACGATATTCTAGATTACTAAATACAACTTACGTTGCTTCGGAGGTATGTTACAACGAAATTCATCTAATGTTTTAGATTTCTTTACTTTTGTCAGCTATACGTACGCAGTTCGGACTCTGATAGAGCATTAATGTCGGCCTATTCAAATCTAGTGGGTTTATACCCAATATCAAAAGATAAATTAAAAGAAAAAATACTATCAAACTTATCGAATCAGGATGAATGGCCAGAATTGCTTCCCTGGCAACCGATACCTGTCCATACTGTTCCAGCCTCAGAAGATTATGTTCGTACAGATACTGAGTTTCCCGTAAAAATGTAATTCTCCTTTAAAGATCATGGGTGTTAGTCAATGTCCATACTTCTTTGAACTTGTCGAACAGATCCAAAGTGGAGAACAAGTTCGAAATATCAGCAACGACTTTCAAGTAAAATTCTATTGCTCTGTTCAAATAGGTTCAATAGCAAACTTGTACAATTAGGAATTTTTTCGTCATTTATCGAACTGGACCGGATCGGAAGTGAACAATTTATTCGATGCTTGGATACTAGCTGATGCTATTTTGATTGAAGTGAGCCTTGGCAATATCAGCAAACTATATTGTCTTCTCATTTGCTCCAGGCTCTATATAACGTTAGTGGATCATGGGCCGACACTATGACTCTTGCGAAACTTGAACAAATTGTTGGTTTATCATTCTATTATCTTTTCGATTCGCCAGACACGAATCGATTGATTGCCGGTGAAATAAATTCATTCAATACAAATGAATTGTATCTCATTCTTCATCTTTATAGGTCCACTAATTGCTGACATCTGGAGTAATATTCAGAATTTAATCACAAACCAATCTCGTGGATATAAAACCAAAATCTATTCCGGTGTAAATAAACTTTACTTGATTTAAACCGAGCGCACACCTATTTTCCATTCTGTAGCATGATGCATCAATTGTCGCTGTTTTATCATTCTTCGATGCTAATTACTTTCATCATCCTCCCTATTGTGCTACGTTACTCTTCGATCTGTATTATCTACCAGGTATTTTACCGCATGCACTCCTTCTCCTGTTTACTAACGATAAGTTTTTCTTCGTTTCCTAAAAGCAAATAATAGCTACGCATTGAAAATCGAATACCTTAACTCATCAGATAGTTTTGCTGGCTATGCAATTCAACCGCCACGTAAGATCTTTATCTTGAATAATCACGTGTCTTTCAATGTGTTCATCTATCTATGTATAGCGTGTTCAGAAGCAATGTGCTCTATAGATGTGTTACGTCCTTGGCTGGAAAATAGATTACCAAAGCAAGATATGAAGACAGAATGCATGCCTCGCAAATCGTCGTCATCAATGGCTGGAATAGGTTTTAACAAAATGTATCAAATCGATGTGATCCTCATCTCATTTGTGTTTATTTTGTTTCCTACTGGCAGTTTAAATTAAAATACGTTTTAAAATGTTTTTGCGTTGTAATCTAGATTTCTATGATGTATTAAAAGAAGGTGAACGTACTAAAAAATGCAGCTGTGTGTCTAAGTGACATAGTTTGATATGCCCAAGAGAAGACATTATCTTCAGAAGTTCAAATGACGACAATAATAATAAGTGGGCTAATTGTTTGATACGAAATAACGCACGCTGTGTAATTAAGAAGATGAAATAAACTTGCCTTTTCCTGTCTTATCATTAGTTTTAAAGCAAGTCCATGAACTATCGATTTGCTTCAGAAAACATCTTTGATAATGAGGAACATAACGTAATTTATTAGCGGAAAACATAAAGTACTTTGATGTTTTCAGAATGGCAATGAAATATTGCCAGGCACAGAGAAAATGTCTACAACTTTTCCAATATGAATTTCTCAGTCATTTTTGCTAGAAACGACAATAATCGTCGTTCATGCTGTTGAATCAACTTGATTAACTCAAAAGATTTCCATTATAATGCTAACGAAGATATTAATACTCAGGAGGAGGCGGTAGTGTTAGATGACATAACTCCAAGTCATCTAATTGAGACTCAACGAATCTGGAATAAAGACGTTTAAGGTGCCACTTTCAGAAAGATAATATAGTAACCAATCCTTTACAACGTTTAGTATTCGTTAGATATAATTTGATGCATCTAAAGTTATGTTATTTGTGCGTAGAACTTCATATTCAACGATGCTTTGACACCGAGATTGAATACTTATCGTGCGCTTGTATCTTTCGCTTCACTGACACAATATACGGTTGAAGTCATGCGTTCGGCTTCATCCTGAGGACAAAGTACAATAAAGCTTTCTTGTTTGAAAAACTAAACAACACCCTTTGCATTAATCAGGTTCATTCAACATGATAAACGAGGGTTTTTATTCTAGAAAATAACGGCTGCAAAGGTCATGCTTTAAAAGTTATAGATATTTCTCTAACATTTCCTCTCTTTTTGAAAAGATATCATAGTGGTGTGAAAAAATTTCATTGGCGCAGCCTCTGGAAACCGGAAGGTAAAACCGTCATGCACACATTACTGAGACATTCTTAAATAGAAGACGTTTTGAAAACAGAAATCTAGTTCTAATAAGAACTGATTAAACATTACATTTTCGTAGGTAAAATGACACACAGTTTACTAAACCTTGTGTTTGTGTACGTGTCTAAGAGTGATAGGTAAGGTGTTAGAATCTCAGCTTAGAACTTGCACTCATTATTTGTCGTGCTAAGTGTTTTCTCTATAGCATATCGGACATTTCGTCTGAAAAAGAGTAGATGAATCTTCGTATAAATTTGTCTTTTGTCTAAACCATACTTTTAGATTTGAAAAAATTCGAAGCAGCGAGCACAGCAATGATGTCTGTAGAAGAAATATTCAACTTGCTTACACGTTTGCTCAATTATATGTTTGCAATACCAATGTTGATTCTGGGAATGATTGGATCACTATTGATTATTATTGTGATTCTTCAGAAACGTTCGTTTCGACAAAATACAAGTTTGACATATTTACTGGCTGGTGCGATCATTACTGGTATTCATCTTCCTACAATCTACATACAAATGATCCTTGTATATGGCTTTAACGTATCGTTAATGAACGCCAATGAAGCAGCCTGCAAAGAGCATACATATCTACGTTATGTCACAACCGTTGCAGCCATATCATTCCCATGCTGGGCTGCGTTCGATCAATATGTCGCTACTTCCCGATATGTTACGATTCGGAACCGTTGGAGTTCACTTCGTGTTGTTCGATTAGTTATCGTTTGCAGCGTCATTTTTTGGATATTAATCTATATTCCAATTATATTCCATACGGGCATCATCAATCATGTGTGTGTATTTTTACCTGGAGCATATACAAAGTTTAATACCTATGCATTCACACCATTTGTCTATGGTATAGGTCCTGCTGGCGTGATTGCTTACTGCACACTAGGTACAGTTAGAAATCTTCATTGCAGTGATGTCCAGCAAACACACGCCAAACTTGCAAAACAAGTTCGAGCAATGCTCATGCCTCAATTGATGATACTTGCTATATCGGGCATTCCTTTCGGTTTTCAAAACATGTATCTTGATTTGACAAGTGGTTTTCATAAAAGCGCATCACAAATTGCAATCGAAGCATTTGTTGGACAAGTTATCTTGATTTTCTATCATTTCAATTACGTTTTCACCTTTTATATCTATGTTTATAAATCAAGCGAATTTCGCAAAGTTCTGAAAAATAAACTATTTTATTGGATTCCACAACGACCGATGGATTCAGTGCAACACTGGACAAACAATACAACCAGACCTGTCAAGGTGTGTGTAACTTATTTACATTAATTTCATACAATCAAATCAAATCTGAAAAGTCGGAAAATGGTCTATTCAGACGTTTTTCATGCACGTGTTGTTCCTCAAATTAACTTACAATTTATATATTCGCGATTATATGCACGAAACATCTTAACACAATAGTGCACTCTAGCCTGTGATCGTTATATTCATCCAATGAGTGCAACATTTTAGTTAGATTCGTTAGTTCCTTCCTCCTGCCAGAAAAATTCACCTTCAACAAACACACTTGTCAACTTTTGTTATAATGATGAATTTTTTAATCATGCCATAAATAAATCAAACACTTACAGCACGAATAATTGCTTTGTTGACTTCTCTAGTGAACTCACTGCAGTTTCTTCAATCTGATGAAGATCTGAGAAATACCAACTATGGTACTCATTATTAATCTATACGTATCTAGAAGGCAACTACGTCTGTTGCCAATATGTGACATCTATGCATTAACAATACGAATATTTGACGAACTACAGAATGAATTGGATCGCACGTTTAGATCGTTGAATCTATAGCATCAGTGCAAAGAAGTGTTTGCGTTTGATTCATTGTTCTACACAAAATGTAGAGTAAATGTGTCCACATAATACCACTGATATTTACTCATTGTATTTGCTGTTACTGATAATATCTTACTTTCATCAGTATACGGTGTAATTTCGACATCAAATCCAGATAGGTATAAAGAACCGCAGGACGACTGATTTTCAACTAACATACATTGCAATTGACTCACGTTATTTTTATCAACTGAGAATATGTGTACGATTATCAAAGATCCATCTATTATTATTAAATGTTCGAATCCAATGAATCAAAACGCTGTTGAATCCATTACTTGTATGGCTGTCGAATCTAATGCAAAAGCTTGGCCTATTCGTATGATCTGGTTCTATCCAAACAAATTGAAGCAAACCAGAGATGAATTCATGCCATCGAAACAATTGCAGTTGACATTATCGAACACACTCAACTATTTTACAATTCTAGCTGGCCGAGGAACAGAAGATGAAAATGGTAATGTCACCGTTCATTTGAATAATGAAGGTGTTCTTTACACTGACGCCCACTGTCCAGATCAATCATTGGATTATTTCATTCAACGAACAGATGATGAAGAATTCGACTATGAACACATCAATTCATCGGATTTAGATGTTCTCATACCGAATGATTTCACTGGACCGCTGACGTCTATACAAGTAACACGCCTGCAGTGCGATTCTGTGGTCATATCTATAGTAGTATGCCATTGTTTGATGGATGCACAAAGTTCAGCGCATTTTATCACAAGTTGGGCTGCTGGTGGAACGCCGAAAAATCTACCAATGATGGACAAGTCATTTATTCTCTTTTCAACAGAGGAGCAACAGCAGCACGCACCGCTGACTCGTCCTGCCAATTGCGTTTTTACTCGTGATCTTATTCCATCACCAGAAACTGTGCTTGTTCGAGCTGGATTTTCAGAACGTGTGATCTCTCGTGTTTACCATTTTTCGGCCGATGAATTGAAGAACATCAAAGCAGCAGCGATGAAAGATCTCCCATCAGCTGTTGATTACATCAGTACATATGATGCGCTTTATGCACACATGGTATTAGTGATTGCTCAGGCAACACAAAAGTCATTTGTAGACAACGATAAAATCAAAATTCTTCAGTCGTTAAATGGACGAACACGTTTTGCTGCTTCGTATTCACCAGAAACACTCTATTATTTTGGTTCGTTTGCGTTTTGGCTGTTTGACACATGGACAGCAGATGAACCACCAACGCTTCCGTCCTTGGCTAAATGGATTCATGAAATGCACGCAAAACAAACGATCCAATCATTGAAATACTACAATGCCTACTTAACTAGCGGTGATGGTAAAATTGGAAAAAATCAAGTCGATGCTGACATCATCAATCATGATTTTCATTGCGCATCATGGCGAAAGGTGAACATGTTAGGAGGGAACTTTGGTGGTGGTGATAATTATCCAATCTATAGTGGACCAACAAAACAAGTATTTCCACAATATTTTGCTATGATGGATTCACACAAACGAGATGAATCAGTAAACATACTGTTAGCATTACGAGAAAGTGATTACACAAGATTACTCGAACAGAAAATGATACATAAATATCGTTAAAAATATAGTAGAATGTTTTATTTAAATAATAAAATGAACTTTATTTAAAAACGAAGGAACATGATTTATTGTTTAATGAATTGTGCGAATTCATCAGCAGTTTCTTCACGCCACCGGGAAAGAGCTGGACGACTTTCGATAATATCACGTAAATTCCAAGTCATACGCTTGTAATCTAGTTCATTTGTAACATCATTATCAGGACACAGGATATAGAATTGCTTTTGTTTGATTTTATCAAACATGTACGATGCAACTTGCTCGGGAGTCCAAGCTGAATCCGGTTTACTTGTCGACGTACCGCGAGTCATACCAGTATAAGTATATCCAGGAATGAGAAGATACACTTCTATATTTGTCTTACGAAGATCATAAGAAAGACTTTCAGCAACAGATTTCACGGCCGCTTTTGATGCATTGTATGCTGGATTTCCAGGTGGATTAGTAATACCTTGTTTTGATCCAGTGATAACAATTGTTGCCTTTTTATTTTCAATCAATGGAAGAATAGCTGCAATGCCATTGACGACACCAAATAAGTTCGTATCCATCATCGTACGCCATCCAGTTGGATCAGTCCACGATGGTTTGCTTCCCATACCTGCATTTAACATAACAAAATCGATCGGTCGGTCTTTGATTGCTTCTGTGATCGTTTTCCATTGATCTGCTTGCGAAACGTCGATTTGAAATGTTTCGGCTTCTAGACCTTGTTCGAATTCAGCTCGATCGATTAATAATAATGTGTGTGTTTTCACTAATTGTTGAGCTACAGCACGTCCAATTCCTGATGCTGCACCGGTAATAATAGCAAGTGGCTTTGTCGACATATTCTCGTCGTAGTAAACTATTAAATTCTAGCTATGGCTATTTCTTTTTCTAAAAGTGCATATAAATAAAAGAAAGCACGTGTTATTATACTTCGATAAAAAGAAAGACAGAAAGAAAACTTCTCTTTTCATTGTAAAAGAACGTAACGAACAGTAACATATACATCGATGACAAAGCAAATTTACGTGACATTTTATTAAAATGGAAAAACAAGCTTAAGCCATGTGAAACATACAGATGACTGAGATAATATCAGCGTTTGCATCCCACCGGACACAAATTTTAATATTTCCTTGAACACGTATTTTTTTCTGCAAAACACCCTTTTTATATTCATCCTTATCGGGAACGATTTGATGATCGCCATTGTCAATTTTAATCACATTGGCATTCGGTATAATCATATGAAGTAGTATTTCATCGTTTTTGTAAACAAGACGTTGTAATGGATGAATTAGAATACAGTTGTGTTCAGAGAAAGTCAAATAGGTTTGGGGAAAAGTAAAACTACTCATCAGATTGGAAACCTGTAGACGCATATTGATAACACCTTGATAGGATGTTTCTTGACTAGTCTTTGCGTAGATATCAACATTATAAAGGCCATCGACAGGTGGAGCAAAGAAACAGTTGAGTATATCAGGATTATTCTCATCTCGTTGACATAATGTGTGCAGATTACGTGGATATTGTTCATGTTCGATTTGCAAAGTGGCAGACAATTGGACATGTTTTGGTGTTCGAACTGATACTTTGAACAGATTATCGTTGATGGAATTAAAACCTTGCTTTGGCGATAGTAAATTCAAATCAAACTGGTAATAGGACGATTTCATAACTGGTAAACTAAGAAATTCATCGATAGTTACTTCAGGTTCGAGTAATTGTGTTCCAAGGCAATAATGCGAATAAATAAATTCCTCGGGTGATGTCAGAAAATAGAAATCTTCGAGTGTTACTTCATTATCTCGGCCACCAGCACCCCACGTTGGATCGACTAAGTAGGTATGATCATCTATTACAACGCTATTCCATGCATGAGGTGACTGCTTCAGTTCGTCAAAGCGTTGCACGAAATTATTTTTAGCAAATCCACTTATTTCAAAACATTGAATATCGAGTAATGTGCAACATTCGTGATAGAGACTAGCGAAGCCACGACAAACGCCTTGTCTTGTTCGAAAAACAGTTTCTGCGGCATTGTTATTACAGTGCAATGCATACTTAATATTTTGACCTATCCAACAGAATAGTAACCATGTATATTCTAAATCATTCGAACCGCATGCTTTGATGTTTGATACAAGATCAGCCATTGAAGTTACTGTTGACCATTGCCGAACACTATTGCGAAAGTCTTTATTCGCAACAACAGCAGCACGCTGTTGACGAAAAGCAGCATCAGTACGGGTTTTCTTCGAATTAGCAATGATTTGTATTTCTGGAACTGACGCTAACGTAATTGTTCGCCGAAGAGCAGGTAACGCAGTCGTCCTAGGAATAGTAGGTGCCATTGGTTTCTCTTGACTTTTAATCGCTTCTTCAACCGTTTCTTTAATCAGTTCTTTCAATAACAATGGCTGTTGTTGTGCAAGCGTATCAAGCAGCGATTGTTTCAAGTCATTAAACATCTTGCTTAATTCGTTAGTATCGTTTGGCTTGGTGTCTACACCTTCTCGAATAGTTTCCATAAGAGTATGTTCTAATCGATTGGATGTATTTTTACTGGCTGATGATGTTGGACCTTGAGGATCACTCTTGTGAAGAGCAGTTGTACCTAATTTTCGTTCGGTTATAGTAATTAGGGTTTCTCGTAGTTGGTCTAACGTGGTCGGTAATGAAGGCTTTGAACTGGATGCATCTCGTTTCGGTGGCAACCGCAACTTTACCAATGAAATAAGATCGTCGTCATCATGTTTAGATGAATCCTTGGGCATCTCCTTTTCCGTCATTATTGAATCGGCAGATGAAGCTGCATGAATAGTGGCTGCTGACACGTCATCTTTGGGTCGAACGGTC